TTTATCATGGCATACTTTAAAACAAATATATTATATCTGTATAGTGTTTTGAGCACGGGCTGAATCAGGATAATAGGCGTTTTTAAGCCAATAAATATAAAAAAATATTTGTCTTAGCTTACTTATAATAAAAATAAATCAGTGGCGCTTTAACTTTTTTTGGTCTGGGCCTTAGATTTCTGTATTTGTTTCATGATCGTTTGTTAAGGTGGAAACACATTATTAAACGCCATTACATGCCATTTTTTCTAGTTTAAAAACTGTATATATAATGTCTTAATGATAACAACTAGATTTTTCTTAATGCTTTGATTAAAATACAGTAAAAAGTAATTAAAGAAAAAATAAAGTAATGAAAAAATTATTCAATTTCCTGTAATAAACTAGTACACTTAACGCAATTATATTGATACATTGCAAAATTCCTTGTAAAATACACGTAAACGAAAGAAAAAAGCAGCTTAATTAAATTGCTTTGGATTAACCTTGCCAAATCCATTTAACACAGCCGGTCAATATCGTAACGACGCCGAGAATAATGTAACCTTAGACTGTACCTTATGATACAGTTTTCATTATGAGACATCGAGACAGAATACGAAATTTTTGCCGCGCACCACCACTATGTGGAGCCAGTTGCCCACCGAAGTATTTCCGAACCAATTCGACTTAGAGTCCTTTAAGAAAAGAGCGCACTAATTCTTAAAATGCCGGCAAAGCCACTTGCGTGTCCTCCGGCAATGGCCGCAGTCTTACATCATAGTAATCGGAGGAGGTTTGATCATAACACTTAATCATTAGCTAGAAGCGCGGCATCCAAATTCAAAGTAACTAATAATAATTATTATAACAGGGGGAAAACGGGCAGGAGGCTCATCTGTTAAGTGATATCGCCCATGGACACTGTCAAAGGGCTCGCGAGTACGTTACAGGCATTTTAAGAATACAAGTACAATTATCAAATAATTAATGAAACAGTACTAGAAATATCATTCGAGAACACATATAAACATACGTATATCTTTATCTAGGTTAATACACTAATGGCGAAGACGGCTGGACGGGTGCTGATAACTTGTTTATCGTACTCTATCATATTAACCTGTATTCTTTATCTAAGTATTATAAGGTTTTAGGGGATTAATATTTATATAGGGTTGCCCCAATTTATTGTATTTTAACTTCCGTATAACAAAAAAGCTATTTTTGATTTATTAAGCTATTGTATAGATTTTATCGCGACCTTTAAGCGCGGCGACCGAATCAAGAAATTCCGTAACGAAAATAAAAACCTAACACACGATGACGTAATATAGTTGCGGCCAATACGCGTTAGAGCGGGACAAAACGCATACTGTGTCTCACATCGGTCTGGCGTGATCGGTGAGGTAGCGCAGATGCGTTGGTGTGGGAAAGAACGCATACTGCGTCTCACATCTTTCTGACGAGATCGGTGACGTAGCGTAAGCGCGGCCGGTGCAGCCGGTACGCGTTAGAGTGAGACAGACTATATAGGCGTGTTAGTCTGGTAGAGTGGTAGATTGAATTAATATCCAAGAAATAAAATACTGCATAAATAAATAATTATAATTGCATAAGTTGATAAAAATGCTATGCAATAGCTTTACCGCGGCAGCCCCGGAGTGGCACACGTTTTTTATTTTTACAGACTAATATGGTTAAGGTTAGGATATTTAATAACTGACTGGTAAGTCCATTTATTAGCCGCGGTAGCATATACCTCAACGTTCTCTCGCCATATAGGTACGTTGTTTGCTCTCGACGTACATAGCCGAACTTGCGTTACTGCTCGGGTCTGTACGTCATGCTCCACTCGTTTTTTGTTATCTCGAACTTATACTCTTAAGGGAACCTCTCAATTTTTAAATAATTCTTACTTAAAAACGTATTGTGATCGGCAATAAGTACTTGATAGGCTACATTTTTAGTTCTTAAATGTGTGTGTAAGGTGTACACATTGTTATCTGTCACATTGCACCAGTGTTGCAACACGATACGAAAGATAAGCAATGCAATGCTTTGGCATATTTTGTCGACTCGTAATACGGCCACCCAAAACGTATATTGACTGTAGCTAAAATTTCTAAAACAATATTAGTTTAAACAGTCTTTGGTGTTGTTATGTGGTCCCCACTATACTATTAAACTTTCAACTGTTATTTACCTAATTATTATTTCTTTGCCTTGTATAAGTTTAACCATTTGTTTATGTAGTGATAAGTTATAGTTAATAACCTAATGACATTGTTTGTTCCCCTAATGTATCCCTACTCCTACCCAAACCTTTAAGTACCAAATCCCGATCCTTTCAAAGGCACTTCTATTCCATATTCCAACTCCAACGTTAGTTTATTGTAAACATAATTTTAAATAAAGTTTGTTAGTTTTAAAAAACAAGTTTTAGTCACTGCCTCATAACAAATTTGGCGCAGTCGGTAGGATCTACTTGTGTAGTAAGACGAAGCAAACGTACAAAGGACTAGCATCGCCTAGTACGGTAGCCTTAGGCTTTTAATAGTTTTCGCCGATACTATGCTCTTGTGGTTCGTGTTACTGTGGTAAGTGGCATTTTACTTGTGGCTCATTCTTTTCCTATATTTCCATATTTTGTGTGTTTTATATATATTATCGTGTATTACTATATCTTATATTTCATTTAATTACATTATTCATATTTAACTACACACGCATTCTACATTTTAATCATCATCATGTCATTAAAGACCGAAAGCATAATGAAGGCATCACCAGTTAATATTCAAACTCTTATAAATCTAATTCCTATATTCGACACAAACAATCACGATGAAATTTACGGTTACATTAGGTCCTGTGATACTGTGTTTAAACTGTCATCTCCGTTTGAACGGGAGACTTTGTTAACTTGTGCTCTAAATAATATTAAAGGCATCGCGGCCTCAGAAGTTCGGTGTAAAACTTACGAGACGTGGGATGAATTAAAGAGATTTCTTATTGAGAGATTCGCGAATACCAAGACAATTCAACATTTGAATTTAGAACTTCAATCGATTTTCCAGAGACATGATGAGTCCTTAACCCAATTCTATCATAGAGTAGATCTTTGTCGTTGCAAAATCTTAGAAAAACTACACTCAGAAATTTGCGATTCAACATTAGACGGACGTGTAGCAACCACCGAGGAAACCGCCTTAAGCATATTCCTCAACGGTCTCTCTACAGACATGGGTATAATGCTCAGAACAAAAGGTTTCGATACCTTGAGAGAAGCAGGTCGTTTTGCAATGCAAGAAGATCAAATTAGGGCTATGAACAAAGCTAGGCAATCTTTATTTAGACCAGTTGCAACTCCTAGGCCAGCAATTAGGAGTAATGCATATCAAATTAATTACCAATCTATTCGAAACCCAAATATTCCATTCAGGCCTCCTAATCCTAGATTTTCTCCAAAGACATGTGCTTATTGTAAAAATATTGGGCATTCAATAAACGAATGTCGCAAGAGAGCATACAACGAGCAAAATAAACAACGCGCTCTCCCTGCACCAATCCGCCATTTAAACTTAGAAGCGACCAACGAAATGAGCGACCCGTTGGAAATCGCTACCAGCTCTTACTCGATGAACCCAGCTCTTTAGACTATTCAATGCTTCCTCAAATTCCAAAATCAAGTCGAGTGTTACAAAGCACTGTGTCTGCATCCTTGCATAATAAACCAGCCTATCGGAGGCAATGCAAAGAAGCTTGCACACAGACAGATTTTGAAGCTAGCTTTATACAGACCTACAAACAGGGTAGCCAGTCCCAAACCTTTGGTCATAATACGGATTCTACTATTTCTTATAAGCACGATGAATCTCCAAAATCCTCTGAATCTAAAAATCGCACTGTATCTTCTAACCCCACTGTATCTCAAAATATCGCTGAATCTTGTAAACCCGCTGTATCTCATACTACTACTAAATCGAATTCAAAATACCATTATAAAAAAAAATAAACGTAAGTCGAAATCAAACAACAAGAATATTAAATCTTTTTCAATCTCTGCTTTAAATGATATACCTCCAGAAAATCTCTTACATGCTACATTTTACATAGATAATAAACCTGTGACTCTTTTAATTGATACCGGTGCTGGTATATCTGTCATACGTAAAGATAAAATAGGTTTAGCTTGCATTAACGAATTAAATATAGTTTCTATTCAAGGTATTTCCAGTTCTCAATCTCAGATGCTGACCTTAGGAACGGCAAATATTTCCCTTGACAATTTACCTAAACATAAATTTCATGTTGCAAACCTTAACATAAAAGCTGACGGTATTTTAGGTAATGACTTTATGACTGAATATGACTGTAAAATTGAAGTACAATCGAAAATCTTAACAATTGGCGTCAAAAGTTATGACTTATTTTATTTACATGAAAAACTACAAGATTTAAATTCACAGAACAATACTGTATCCCTCGAAAAACAAGTAATTAACAAACGATCGGAAACAGTAATTAGATGTACAACAAATTCTATGAATTCTGGCGAAGCAATCGTTGAAAAACATACATTAGATAATGGCATTATTATTCCACGCTCATTAGTGACCGTCACAAACAACTCTTTTCTTATAACTTGCATTAATTTAGACAAACAAGATAAGATTATTAGCACTCCTTCCATCCCTGTTACTATTTTTGACTTTGACAAACATACTAATGAACAAACTCAACATGAGATAAATAATTTTAATTGTATTTCCCAAACAGATCGTCAGAGCAAAGTTTGGTCCCTCATTAGAGGCGACCATTTAAACAAAGAAGAATCAAACTCCCTAAATAAAATCGTAATTGAATATTCTGACATATTTTATACAGAAGGTGACAAACTGACATTTACAAACCATACTAAGCATACTATTCCTACCACATCAAATATTCCAATTAATACGAAAACATATAGGTTTCCACATATACATCAACAAGAAGTAAAAACCCAGGTCGATAAAATGTTAAATGAAAATATAATACGTCCGAGTACTTCACCATGGAGTAGTCCTATCTGGGTAGTCCCTAAAAAAGTAGACGCCTCCGGCAAACAAAAATGGCGCGTCGTTATTGATTATCGTAAACTGAATGATATAACCATAGGTGATAGTTATCCTTTACCTAACATTACAGATATACTCGACAAGTTAGGACATTCTGTTTACTTCACTACTTTAGATCTCGCCTCTGGATTCCACCAAATCGAACTCGAATCAAACGATATTCCTAAAACTGCCTTTAATACTCCGTATGGACATTATGAATTTTTAAGAATGCCATTTGGATTAAAGAATGCTCCAGCAACTTTTCAACGTGCTATGGATAGCGTACTCTATGGATTACAAGGTGAACGTTGCTTTGTTTTTTTAGATGACATAGTAGTCTTCGCCTCTAGTTTACAAGAACACGAACAAAAGCTATACGAAGTCTTCAATCGACTTAGGAAAAATGGCTTAAAAGTTCAACCAGATAAGTGTGAATTCCTTAGGAAAGAAGTAGCCTATCTAGGGCATATAATTTCTAGCGAAGGTGTAAAACCTAATCCTGATAAAGTTCACGCAGTCGATAATTTTCCAGTTCCCAAATCATGCAAAGACATCAAGTCTTTCCTTGGCCTAACCGGCTATTATCGCCGTTTCATTTCTAATTTTAGTAGTCTAACAAAACCTTTAACTAGTCTCCTTAAGAAAGATGTTCCTTTTGTTTGGGGTGAAACTCAACAATCAGCCTTTGAAGAATGCAAACGTCTCCTTACCAATCCTCCTATTTTACAATATCCTGATTTTACTAAAGAATTTATTTTAACAACAGACGCTTCTCTTCATGCGATTGGCGCTGTTTTATCGCAAGGGCAAATAGGTAAAGATCTACCTATTGCGTATGCATCACGTACTCTCAACAAAGCAGAATCAAATTATTCCACCATTGAACGTGAATTATTAGCCATAGTTTGGGCTGTTAAGCATTTTCGTCCCTATTTATTTGGTAGAAAGTTCAAGATCGTTACCGATCATAAACCATTAACATGGCTTTTCTCTATAAAAGACCCTGGTAGTCGTCTCGTTCGCTGGCGTCTCAAACTCGAAGAATATGAATACGAAGTAATTTATAAAGCTGGTAAAAATAATACTAATGCCGACGCACTCTCTAGGCCCTCAATTCTTAACACAAATACTATTGACTTAACTTGTGACAAAAATACTGATAAGAACGAAATCGATTCTCACGACGACTATTTACAATTAAACTATCAACACTTTACAGAAATTTCAGATTATAGTTTCGACACTCCAAATCTACATATTTCACCAGATAAGCTGTTAGACGAACGACATAAAGACATATTTATTGCTATTTCTTGTGACATTTCCGATAAGAACAATCTTTACAACGAAGCTATTTCAATGTGTTCTCAAGTGGAACCATTTCTAAAAAAGTCTAAAGCACTCTACGAAACTGACTTATTGGTTTCCAACAAAAAACAAAACATTTACTTTAACTATTCTCGACCCTTATATTTCGATCCTTGGGATTCTGAAAGTTATTTTAAGTCACTTCTTAGCTGTTTACAGAATAACGATTTGAAATCACTTTACGTACCTGACTTAAAAGATGACGCAACTTGTAAATTAAAAGGCAATGAACAACTACATATTACATCTTATTTAGCAGACATTTATAATTGTAAGATTACTATCTGTGAAAACAAAGTGAAGACTCCTAATCCTGAAGATATTCCTTCTATTTTAAAATCTTTTCATGATGACCCTTTGTCTGGTCACCGTGGTATAGTTGAAACCACACGAAAAATAAGATCAGAGTATTTTTGGAAAGGTATGACCGACACTATTAAAAATTACATTGACAAATGTCAAATTTGCCAACGGAGTAAGATACAAAGAAAAACTTATAAAGCTCCAATGGTAATAACTTCATCATCCACTGAACCTTTTGAACGTGTCTCTATCGACTTAGTTTCTTATTCAGAAGTAACCCATGACTCTAATAAGTACATCTTAACCTTACAAGATGATTTAACAAGGTTGGTACAAGCTTATCCTATTGTAGATAAACAAGCAATTACCGTAGCAAAGACTCTATTAATCTTCTGTCAACATTACGGCGTTCCCAAACGATTTCACTCAGATCAAGGAACAGAATTTGTAAATAGCATCATAAAACAATTAATGAAATTGTTAGGTTCAAATCATACATTGAGCACAGCTTACCACCCTCAAAGTAATGGTTCTATAGAACGTTTCCATGCTACTCTTAGAGATCATATACGATCGTATCATAAGAGAAATAATTGCAATTGGGATCAAATAATTCCTTTCGCAGTTATATGTCATAACACAGCAGTTAATCAATCATTGGGTTTCACGCCTCATGAATTACTTTTTGGGTATAAACCTCGATCACTCTACTCTCTAAAAGAATTAAACGAATATACAACCTGTGATTATTTACATGATCTTAATGAACGACTCAAAGTTTCTCGTGACGTTGCTTTACGTAACTTACAAGCGATGAAGGAAAAAGCTAAAGAACGTTATGATAAAAATATTAGAAACATCGCTAAGTATAACGTAGGCGATTACGTAATGCTCAAGGTGCCTAACCCTAATAACTTAGATTCGAAATGGGAAGGTCCTTATCTTATTGTCAGAATAGGATTCAATGAAAATTACATTATCAGAAAGAATGGAAGAAACCAAATAGTGCATGCAAATCGTTTAAGACCATCGCACGATACATAAATTATTTAGAATAATTATCGTTACTAGATTTTTTTACAAACCAATTTTAATTCTATTTCAGTTTACCAATTGCTATGGCATTTCCCAATACTATATCCGACGGAGAGGAGAATCCTAATTATATACATTCGTTTTATCCACACATGAATAATTCTTATTTTAGTTTTATCATATGTTCTATAATAAAAATTTTATTTTACATTATACTATACAAAATTTATATAATTATAAAGAAAATAGTTACAAATAGGTTTAATTCTAATTAGAATTCTGAAGAGGTCGTAGTCTAATTCTTGAATATTATTATATTTCTTTCAATATTATATTTTACAAAATAGTTATTTCCATATTTCAGGTACTCCACAACCTTTGTTGTCGGGGATACCCACATACAAAATATACCTTCAAACTCAGGACTATATTATGAAGAAGTTGGTGAAATTCTAGTGTCGGAAAGTTCTTGGAAACTCATTATATATAGAGATATCGAACCATTATTCTTATCGAGGGATTCTGTAAAACGATTAGTAAATAGTTATAATTTTATAATCAAACGAAATTCTAATTTACCTAACGTCGTTACTACCAGTTCTTTTATTAAATTAAGTATTATGAATATAGACTCAAGGTTGGATGAATTTCAATATTACACAAGCGACAAGCGTTTCAAGCGCGAACTTATAGACGGTCTAAGCTCAGTTCTAAAATGGCTCATTGGTACACCAGACGCAAAAGATGCCGAATACTATAATGAATGTATAGATCTCTTAGAAAAGCAACAAATTTCTACGAATGATATTTTAAAACAACAACTCCAAATTCTTTCTTCAACCATTACTAACTTTAACAATACCATTTTAAAAATTTCATACGATGAACACATGATCAATGAAAATTTAATGAAAATTAACTCCTATATTAACTCAACGAATACTTTACTTTTTAATCTCAGTGTATCTGAACAGATCTCAACTGTTTCTATACAAATTCTAGAACTCGTCACGTCTCTAGAAAAACAAATTGATGATATCGTTGCGAGCATTTTATTTATTAAATCGGGAGCAGTTCATCCTTCGGTCATATCGTCAGTAAGTCTTTACAAAGAATTATTAGCATCAAGTCATGCTAGAACATCAGGTAACCTAGTGGCAACCGTGAGTCTTCAAAACATTCATAAAATTTTAAACTCTGCCACAATTACATCATATATTTATATGAACAAAATTATATATATATTAAATTTTCCTTTAGTCAAAAAATGACATATTTACCTTATACCATTTAATTTCAATTCCTATAAAACATCCTGAGTCCTCCTTATATTCCACAATCCTACCTGAGCACATGTATCTTGCTATGAGCAAAAACAGTCAACGCTACCTGACGACGAACTCCGTGGATAAGTGTCATGAATTCTCTCCAAACCTTCATGTATGCAGTAAGGTCACAATCTTCAACTCAAACGCACGACCAATCTGCGAAGTCTCCATCTTGCTGACGAATTCTAAAGACATACCTCAAAACTGCGAGGTATCCACATTCTCTGCGCATTTCAACACATTTCATCCATTAAAAAATAACAAATGGATTTTCATACTTTCGAAGAAAATTAAATATGCTATGGAATGCAACGGAAAAACTACACATGGCGAAATATTTGGACACGGAATAATTCTGCTACAACCTGCATGCAAATTTTATACACCAATGGTTACACTCATCGCTGAAGACTCGAAATCGAAAAACATAAGTCATCCCATTGTTACTGTCGACGTGGAAAATAACTGCATCGAAGGAACTCCAGATCTTTATAATCCAGGACTCGTACCTATCCAAATTAACGATGTTTCCTTAGACACTCTCAATACTATTAAAGACGAGATCAAACATCACTCTAAAATACTAAATCAAGATAAATATATCATTCAAGAACATCCATACAATTTCACTCTAATGAGTTTATCACTTGGATCAGTCCTTCTTATTTATACTCTTTACAAGTTTTGCAATTGTTGCAACCTCTTCAAATACTTTTACCCAAGAAGAAACTCTCACGAACAAGGATGCATTCAAATATTTAATAATTGCTTCGACCAATCCCGAAGACGACAACAAATAGAAATCCCAATGTCTACATACAATACGACGACGACGACGACGGCTTGCATCAGCTCGGACGACGAAGAAGAGGACGCCCAACAAACTTCTTCAAAAAGTTCACGCCAACAGGCGCAACCTTTATTTTAAAGGGGAGGTGTTATGTGGTCCCCACTATACTATTAAACTTTCAACTGTTATTTACCTAATTATTATTTCTTTGCCTTGTATAAGTTTAACCATTTGTTTATGTAGTGATAAGTTATAGTTAATAACCTAATGACATTGTTTGTTCCCCTAATGTATCCCTACTCCTACCCAAACCTTTAAGTACCAAATCCCGATCCTTTCAAAGGCACTTCTATTCCATATTCCAACTCCAACGTTAGTTTATTGTAAACATAATTTTAAATAAAGTTTGTTAGTTTTAAAAAACAAGTTTTAGTCACTGCCTCATAACAGTGTAAATATATTTCTTATAATTTTTACAAAACTTCGATGTTTGTTTGATTTGGTTGTAAAATATAATTAACTATAATAACTGGAATTCGTTGTTGTCAAGCTGAGAGCGGCTGCAGAGCAGGCGGAAAATAATAAACGGCTCAAATATAAGTCTTTCCTCAAACTTCGATTTTGTTCCCTTTGGAGTAGAGACTCTTGGGCCATGGGTTGCACAGCAGCTAATTAAAGATTAAAGTTGGCTCCTAAGTACCGGTGACCCCAGAGCTGGTGCTTTCCTCGCTCAAGGAAAAAGTATCGCTATACAGCGAGGAAATACTGTGAGCGTAAATTAAAACATCTTTAAATTTGTTTTAATTTTGTCTTTATTAATTTTTAATTATTTTTATTATTACCCACCTACATAGGTAGGTAAAGAAAGTTGTAAATACTGTATATTTGGTTGTATAGAATCATTAATATAATAATTAAAAGTAGCCTATAGTCGAGAACTATAAAAAATACTTACATTATGTTATGATTGTATTTAATATTAGTTCACGACCTCCGATGAAGTGAAGGAATCCAAATTCTTTATGTCAGCTTCGCTACTATTTTCCAATATTTCCCCGCTATCTCTTTTATTTCATCTTCTTAGGATTTCTGGTGGCCATCCTCTCTTTTACTTTATAATTAATTTTGTCCTTAACATGCAACTAACACGTAGAACTCAGTTTCCATAACAACAACGCTGAATACCGACAGAGCTTAGATTGAGCGTCGTCAGGAAACCGGCATTGTTGGACCTAGAAATCGACGGCGTGTGCCAGTGCCAGGCTGATAACTACTTGCCTATTACGATTAAAAAGATCACTATTTTCTTTGTATTTACCCTTTACAAAATGAATCAAATAAAAATTATATTTCAAGAAATTAATAATAATAATAGCAAAAATTTAAACACATTTCCATTTCAATCCTCTTCTACTGTATCTGTATTGAGGAGGAGGTCATTCCTCTCTTCACTGAGCCACTCTCTACCATGTACCACCTGCTGTTTCTTTAATGTGTTCTATCCAACTTCTGATTGGTAGTTTAGTAGTTTTTTTTTCTTCAAGAAATTACTTCTAATAAAATTCGCGGTAACATTTAAAATCTAAACTAAGTCTTTAATTTAAGTGGTATCTATTCGTTAAAACATAAATTAAATTTAAGAAACACTATGACTTTAAAATAATGTGTAAGTGTTCTTGTTTAAAGACGCAAGGAATTTTCGCCTTTATCAATGAATGATCTGGCGACCGTTTGGTAATAGTGTTCATTACTCACTTTCCGCGCCTCATACTAAAGATAGACAACTGTTTATTTACAACAGTGACCAGATTTCCTTGCCAAAACCTTGAAGCCCACATCCAACGCATCACTGGAAACAATAGGACACGTCACCATACATATTCTTTTAAATTATGATTAAACCCTTAGTCGATATTGTAAAGATTTGTTTCTTTGTTTGATTTCTTTATTATAATCTATACTTAATATAAAAAGCAGCACAGGAACAGTGTTGGCTTAGTAGCTTCAGTGTGCGACTCTCATATCTGATCAAAGGTTCGATCCCCGGCTGTGCACAAATGGACTTTATGTGCGCATTCAAAATTTGTTCTAACGGTGAAGGAAAACATCGTGAGGAAACCGGCCTTAGACCTAAAACGAGGACGGCGTGTCAGGCTCAGGAGGTTGATCACCTATTTGCCAATTAGATTGACAAAACTGAGACCTAGACCTAAATAGGTTGAAATGGTTTTTTTGATAGACGTTCAATCTTCTGTCCGGGATAGCTTCTTAAAATGCCTAGATGTATTTCTTTATACAACAGTGGGCAAACGGGCAGGAGGCTCACCGGTGGAACACTCTCTTGAAGGACCCTAAGTCGAGTCATATAAGTATTTTTATCTTAATAATTGTATATCGCAAACACCTATAAGTGAGTGTTACGTAATTCGTGTACCAGTTTTGAGCTAAGCTGTTTACTTTTTATGGTCTCAAGTCCACATAAATCTAGATTATACCCTTGCGCAAGATGCAATAAATACAAATTACACAGTTGCTAAACCTTATACCTTAAACCTTTACGAGTTCAAAATGTTGGACAATTATGAATAGGATAGAAATACATATTAAAAATAGAGTGTTTTTTTAATTTTACTGGACATATATTGTTTATCTATTTAATCTGTGTTGGTTGTGTATGTGTCCAAGTGTTTTGTTTTATAATATGTACGTTAGCTGTAAGAATATAGATAATAAATAAATAAATAATAAATAGACAATGTTTATTGCAAACGCGAGACTTTTACAGCAATAAGAGACAGTTTTGACAGTTTCGATTTCAGTTTGTATAGATTACATAGTTTGCTTTCAGATAATTAATATTTTGGATCATATTTCTTTTTTTTAGTTTCTTCCCTTACTAGGGTTGCCTGGATGAGATGGCTTGTTAGCGATAAGGCTGCCCGTTGCATTCCTTATAATCTTTATGTTATTTGTTTTTATAAATCCCCGACTGACTCCTTTTGCACTCGGGTACTTTGACGACGACGTGTGAAAGGCCATCTTCGATTCATTTGCTTTATCAATTAAATAACCTGCTGATAGTCAGAAGTATAATCAATAATATACAGTAACAATACGATTTCCAATATAATATGTTGCATAAGTCCCTGAAGACATAGACAATTAAAATACTACAAACATAATATAATACGTATGTTTCTCTTTACAAGCGACCAAAAGAGGTTTTATTTAAGTATTTTATTTAACAGTTAAATTGCATGCTAATCTGTGCATTAAAAATAAAGTGCAAAGCGGAAATGTCATTTAAAAATAACCCCAATACAGCTGCGGTAATTCAATTTATGAAGTGATGTTAATTATGGCACAGAAACTGTAATTATATGAGATACCTAGATTTTAATTTATGAATTTTATTTTAATGCTAAACGTTACTTAAAACTTATTCTAGATTTTAATTGCAATTTATCTAGATTAAGTATTTATTCTATAAGGTAGATACATTTATAAGATCTTAGAATAGTTTAATAATTTCTAAATAGAGTTTTATATCAATGATACGCCTTGAGTCTTATAATGATGGGCAAAATTCAAGGCAAGAAACGGGCTGGTGGAAGGAAGAAGTCGTGGTTGAACGTACTGGAGTGGACCGGCATCACATCCGCCGAGGAGCATTTTAGACTAACGCTATTCAAGTTGTAAACAGCCAACCTTTCGCAATAAAGTGGCACCAGAAGAAGAAGAATAGAGTTTTCATATCTCATAACCCTTAACAGATGAAGCAAAATTGATCGATATATTTATTAAATGTCATTTAACATGTAGCTAAGTATACCAAAGTAGATGAGGTTTAATTTGTAGCCGAAAGGTACCACAGACTAAAGATGGAATTTTAAACAAACATTTTAATCTGTGTAGGTTAAATCGCGGAAAATAAAATAATTAGTGCACTAATTACGTATTTTGGCAAACATTTTATTTTACTCGCACGCGCACGTGTCGAGTGAATGCAGTGAAATCGAAGGCAAATCTCAGTGAAATTGACGTAGGGCTGGTTAATGGGAAATTTAAAAAGTATAAAATATTAAGTAAGATAGGGTAAGAATGACTTTTGGGCTTACTTTTTGAGTTTCATGTTACTAATTTTATTTATTATCTTTCAAACTAAAAAAAGCGGTGTAATTAGTTGTAATAAAACCACTATTTAAATTAAATAAACCTCCAAACACCTCCATTTAGTCTATAGGGATATCAGAAAAAAATAAAAAATGCATTTGCTTTGCAAAGATTTTTTTCTGATATCCCGAAACAATACGTAAAAATATCGCAATTGTAAAAAGACAGAATATTATTACAAAAAATGCTAGTTTTTTGCGTAAATTAACAGCCATAACGCTTATAGCTGACAGCCTTGTCTCGTACAACCTATTTACTTTGGACAACCCTGAATGCGATGACGCGTAAACAAGTAGGTGCAGTTAATCCAGTACTGGCATTCATGGGTCTTCTCTTTGGCCGTGAAAATCATTTATCTTCACTTTCACATTGATTAAATATTTTTAAGAGATTGAAAGTTCATTCAACAATCAAAATGTTGAAAAGAGGAAACCAAATTCGTGGTATTGCTAACATAACTGGTGATGAGAAGTTGGAGAAAATGATGAACTAGATGGACCTATCAGGTGTAAGACTCGTAGTCCTCAAAACTGTACAGAGGCGCTGGACAGAAGCCGGTGAAAACAGTCCGCTCCAGATGTTTCCTTGCTGACCTCGACACTCAGACATGACCGACTGAAGAGAGATCTATATCTGTCGACGAAAAAGTTCAAACTAGTAAGAGTGATAATTTTTTAATAGTTAAGGTGATGGCGTAACTGGAGTTACTGAGTTCGAGTTTCGAATTTTTTATTTTTTTCTTACATCAGAAGCACCTGATGTTAAGTGACAAGCCCAAAAGACTTTCACATTGCCAGACGGCTCGCAAGTGCGTTGCCGGCTTTTTAAAGTGTATAGTTGCTTTGCACTTTGGTTTAACTTCTATATCTTCTATAGGTACACAATAACATAAAACAATATTGAAATAAATTATGAATTAACCGTTGTTCATGCTGTTTTTAAATGGGTTGTTATAATATCAATTA